TTGAGGCAGGATTGGAAGACAGCTCTCCAAGCTCTGCTGAGTTTATTCCTGAAGGTTGAAATGAAATTATGTTCCCTCCAACGAGCTGCATGTAAAATTGACTCCCTTTCCTTCTCCCACCTTGCCAGGTCCTACTCAGGTGAGGGTGAGGCAGCCCATTCCAACAGAGACCTGGGTTACTCATGGTTCACAGACATCTTGGCCCTCTCCCCAAAGTGGGCTTACAGCATTTTCTGTCCACATTTGTGTCTTAGGAGCAAATTGGACTTGTCTCTTGAGTGTCTTTTGGCATGTGTATAATCACCATAATTTTATATTCACTCAGTTTAAGCAGCATGCCCAGCAGGCAGATTACACTGGCCACCAGTACAGAAAGCCCTCCATGTCTTGCTGCCACTTGATAAAACCCACCCTTCATCCAAAGCAGACCAGTGTCCAGTGTCCATAGGATATGTAATCCTACATATCACAACCTAAAACATCAAGTCCCCTTAAAGTCCTGGCAGAGGACAAAGGCAGATTTAGCCTAGATGATAATGACAACCCCTGCAATTTACAAAGCACTCTCCTGGCTCTCAGAATCTGGGAAGAAAGCAAACAACCTGGGGAAGTTGGTACTCAACATCTTTTTGTGTTGTATAAGCTAGAGGATCCATTCCTGTCTGCTCTGTCTGCCCTGACACTGGGCATGGATGTGCTGCAGTCGTGCCCAGTGGTGAGCCAATCTAGATTCCCAAAGCTCCAGACTTTGAAGTCTGAATCTACCATTTAGTAACTCTCCATTCAGTGAATGGCTTTGCCTTTCTAAGACTACTTCCTCAGCTCTAAAATAATGTGATTAGTGGCCCTTACTGCGTGTAGCCTAGAATTAAGTGCGATGGTACGGGAATAGGCCACACTCTTTCTTGTTACCATAATTGCCCCCATTTACCAATGAAAGGACAGAAGTATAGTCATTAGAAGATGCAGGATTTGAATACAGTTTGGGGGATATTGTTTCTTTTTCTAAAGTATACACAAATAAAGACATGATATCGTTGCTGGAGTTAAGACATGACTTGAATACAGTTTGAGGGATATTGTTTCTTTTTCTAAAGTATACACAACTAAGGACATGATATCGTTGCTGGAGTTAAGACATGACTCAGCCACCAGCTAAGTCTCTGGCCATGGACAAGTCCTACCTCTACCCTGTCTCTTTGCTCTGTAAATGAAAGTATGTTGGAGGAAGAGGTAACACATCTGCCAGAGCAACCTGGGTGCTGGACAGATGTGAGTTTCCCCTAAGCTTCTAATGAAGCCACTCGGTGGTCTAGACTGGGCTTGTTATTATGCAGCACCTGTGATAGAAAGCCCAAGGTCTGCTGGAGAGACTCCGTGGAACTGGTCTCAGAGGCTTGTCATCGCCAGGCAGACTTTCAGATGCACCTACTTTGTGTTCCTCAAAGGCTTTCAGCAACTGGCCTAGGCCTATAGGGGAGTTGTTTTGCATGGGAAACTGATGAATGACATGAACTTAAGGAACCCTGAGCCCCCTTGTAGGCCTCTTCACCTATCTGTTCTGTCTTCGTGGATGAGAGAAGCTCCCACCTCTCAGCGAAGGTCAGAAGCCTCTAACAACGTTCTTTTTGTATTTGCCATCTAGGTAGTAGCATTTGGCCCATGTGGGTAAGGAATTGAAAAGGCAGTAAAGTCCTCTCTCTGTAAACTTAAATGTAGGTCTCAGTGAAAATGCTGGCTGGGGAAAAGGGAAGTGAGACTGTTCATTTGTGGCCTCAATAAAACAGGGCAGTGGCACCATTGCCTCCTGGTGGAAGCAGAAGCAAAATTTCCCCCAAGCACAACTCTGTCCTTCCTCTTGGGGATTTGCCAGGCTGGGTGGGGTTTCTCCTGGGATACTGCAGGCAGTTTAAGGGACATAGACCAGAGAGAGAACACAGTGACAGCTCTAAGATGAGCAACAATGGGATGTAGAAGATGTGGATGACCCAGTGGGAGATGATGGCTCCTGGCCAATCAAGCTAGCTTCTGGTAGGACCAGGGTTGTGGCAGGAGGTTCATAAGCAGAGCATAGTCAGCACCTGACAGAGGTAGGAGGGGAGCTTCACTCCATGAAGAGACCAAATTACCTTCACCTGGGTAAAGATTGTGGCGGGATTTCCTCTAGGGTAAGCAGGGCTTAGGCCAGGGTTCCCTGATCTTCGGTGTTGTGAATCCCAGCTCCAACTCTGCATGGAGATGTCAAAGCTGCAGCTCCTCCCCAGGTTCAGCAGCCCGTTCCTCACTGTCCCCACAAGGCAGATTGGCTGAAGCCTCATAAAGAACATTGGCCCACAGGTTTGTCTTAAAGCACTGAGAGCAAACATGCCACCTCCACTTGATCCAAAACCAGTCCCCAAGTCCCTGAGTCAGATGGAGATTTTCTGAAGGAGATAATAAAGGTGAACTTCTGAACCCCATGGAACCTCTCAGGGGCAAGGTGTGTGGAGGGGGAGAAAAGAGGGGACTCAGACCTGGGGTTGAGTCCTGATGCTCTGAAGGCTGCCATGCAGAGGCCCACAATGAGCACTAGGTAATCCAGAGTTCCTCATTGATGTCTCCCCTACTAACTGAGCAAGGCAGGTACTGGTGGCCTCTCCTGCCCAGTGAGGTGCACAGGTATGAGGAGCTTGCCCAGAGCCCGGCTGCTTGCTCTGCAGAGGTACTATGTGAATAGGGAGGGGAGATGAGGATTATGAGGGAGGAGGTGCTCCCTTGTTGCCAAGAGCTGGAGGGCCAATAGAAGGCCTTTTGCCCCCTTTTGGCAACTGGACCTCACCCTTGAACCCTCCTCCTTGGTTCCTTTTCTTTTTCTTTTTTTGGGGGTTGGCTTCAAATTATCTTGTTTTGTTTACATTACACCCAAGTTTCATGGTACAAAAGACTTGCAGGTGCAAATATGTCCCGCCTTCATTAACTTCCCCTCCCTTTTTAATTTATGTGATTTCAATTTTCCTTCCCTGTACTGTTAATTAGGGGACCCTCTAATCAGTGCCATTATCACAGTGGTATTCATGTTTAGGAAAGCCGCTAAACAAATGCTTGCAAAATTGCTAAATGGCTAATTAATGTCTGTTAATTAAGAAAATTGCTCATGGTAACAAACCATGCCGTTGCTGGCAGCCGCTAGAAAGACACACACTTGTTGAAATTAGTATCGTGGCAGGTAGGGGAACATCTGCTCCTCAGAGCTTTCCGGAAGTGAGCAGCCCCTTGCTCAGCCAAGAAACTCTCAGGCCTGTCCCCAGGTTCTTGTGCACACTTCCATCCCAAGCCCAGCTCCTTCCCATCTTAGGGCTGTGTCTCCCAGTGAGCAGAGCCTTACTACTATGGTTCCCTCTCTTTTCCACGTGTAACCACACCTATCCCTCATACATGTTTGAAGGTTTTCTCAGAAATGGTACAGTACAGTGAGAATGGAGAAGGGTCCAGCTCCCAATGGCCTAGTGGGCTAGGAGGCACTTTTAAGGCGGGCTCATCACACCCCCTGTTCCCCCAATTCCCCCCACCACACACACACACACCTGCCACATGTTTATATTTACACATAAAAGAGAGGCATTTGAAAGATAATCTTCCTTAAAAACACATGACTGGAATTTTTTGTTTTTAATCTTATTTTTTATAGTACTAGAATACTCACACTTGCTAGGCAGGCACTCTACCACTTGAGCTACACCCCTAGCTTTTTGTTGTTGATTGTTGCTGCTTGCTTTTTGCTTGAGTTATTTTTTCCTATGAAGTATCAACGTTCTTATCCAGGCTGGCCTTGAACTGTGATCTTCTTGATATATGCTGAGTAATTGGGATTACAGATAGACACCGCCATTCCTGGCTGTTCTTCTTTTTCTTCATCTCCCCCCCACCCCTTTGAGGTTTCAGGTTTTTAAAAAAATAGTGGTTTCAACCTACTAAATTGATTTTGCCACCCACTAATGGGTTGCAACTCCACAGTTTGACCAGCCCTGTGGTTTAAATGAATTCATCTTCCTCCTGTATTCTGTGGGATCCAAGGTCAGCATAGCCCGGAGCTTTGGGTCAGTTTGGTACTGGAGGTAACTCACCACCAACTGGTGAGAAAGCCCAGCCCTTTCACCCACCAACCCGCCCAGCAGCCAAGGGTAGCCACCCCCACCCCCTTCTATCCCTGATTTACCCTTTGTTGCCCTTGAACCATCAAACTTCTCATCTGTCTTAATTGTGTGGCCATAGGCAAATCTTTGCAACTCCCATTTCCTCATGGGTAAAAGTTAAAATAAGAGATCCCTATCTTAAAGGGTCATTTTGCAATGCAGGTGAATTTCCCAGTGCAAAGCCCCACAGCACCTGTCCTCTCATTCTCCTTAGTTTAAGCGTTACCCTGTTGCTTCACTTCTGTTCATGCTCATCCGCCATTGTCCCCTATCTTCAGCAGGCTTGCTGCTCCACTTCTCACTAGCTCTTGGTCAGTTCAGCCCTGAGGGACCCAAGTTACCTTGTCTCCCCAAGACTGAGCTTCTTGGGGGTAGAGATATCACCTCCCCCTCCTCTGTGAATGGCACTTGCAAGATTTGTATTAAAGCCCAGATGGCCTCAGGAGACCTCTGTCTATGTCGCTCCCCTCCCCCTCCCTCTTGAGTTCATCTCAACCAACGTATTTAACATGGCAAACTCCGCTCAGATGGATAGACTGTGTCTAGCCCTTACTCCTGTGTGCTTTGAATAAGGTGCTTCGTTTTATTTTTTGTTCTTCCAAATCCCCTGTGAACGTACTGATCAGCCTCCCTCCCTCCCTCCCGCCCGCCGTTGTACACCATTGAAGCAGGACTTAAGCAGCCGCTCCACCACCTCCCGCCAGCCAGAGCCCACCACCCGCACGCCCGCCGCCACCCTGCGTTTTGGTTTAATTTTTGTTCTTTTAAGCTTCTGCGCTTCTCCATGTGCTGTGATCTATAACCTGCCTCTACTGTCTGGCCTCACAGGGTCCTCCGGGGTCACAGCCCTCGCCGCACGCACAGCCTCCACCTCACAATCCCAGCAGCATGATGGGACCCCACAGTCAGGTAAACGCACTGTGGCTCGCCCCCCGCTGGCCGGGGCTCGGGGCAGGAGGAAGGAGAGAGCCCGCAGAGGAAAGACAAAAATCAGAACGAGCTCTAGCCATTGCCTTCTGGTCTTCATTGACAAGTTTAATTCCCCCCCCCAAAAAAAAGTCTTTTTTCCCCCACCAAAAAAAGTTAGTCTTCAGCCCTTGGACATCACACCCAGCATGGATATAAACAAAAACAAGAAAACAAGAAAAAAATATTTCTGTGACCTTGTCAGCGGCCTTTGCGTTTTTGTTTTTTCCTCTCTCACTTTTGGTTTGGTTTTGAGTTTGGTTAACCATTTGTTTGTAACTGAGGCTGCATCCCTAGCCTTTTCTTTGTGCACTCACTGCTGAGAAAGCTTCCTTGCCCATTCCCTGCATAAGTTAGGATGCCCGCTGCCCTTCACTGTTTCCCATTGTGCTTTCCCTTTGAATCTTTGCTCCCCTTTCCACTCATTCTTGTCAGTGGTTTCTCTATATGTGTGTGTGTGCGTGTGTACGCGCGCATGTGTGCGCGTATGTGTGTATTCAGCTCTGTCTGCAAACCCTGAACATGTTATGTGTCAGTCCTTTGTCTTGTTCTTATATCTGCCCTTATGGAGAGCAGAAGTGTTCTCCTTTGCCCTCCATTGATTTCACTGTTCTTCTGTGTCCTGTGCAAAGCCCCAGCCGCTGCCCCTCTGCCCATAGTAGGGCTCTGCAAACCAGTGCTGTGTTAGGGTTCCTTGTTCCTTTGCCATGGGAAGTTTTGCCCAGAGGGAAGAGGCTACCCAGAGGAAAGAGAGCTTAAAAGATCACTAGGCATAACAAACCAGACTTGGTGGAGTAGAAAGCATTTGTGTTTATTGCTGTACTGTAGCACAGGCTATCATTGAACTAATTCCCTGTAATTGCAGCCTTTTATGTCACCACGATACGCAGGCGGCCCCAGGCCCCCGATCAGAATGGGAAACCAGGTACTGTACCTTTTCATGTTCTCTCTCCCCACACTCAGCCATCATTGGCCCTAGGCAGACTTGGTCTCAAATCAGAATTGGACAATAGGATTGAGGGGTGAAGGGATTGAAGGTGGAGGACAGAATTGAGGTGGAAGATAACTTACGGCAGGACTACTCTGAGCTCATGGTGCTATGTTTGCCCTGCCTATGTGGGTGGTATTAGGAATCCTCTCCTGGGGTTCAGAGGGCAGTAGCAACAGCATCTTGGGTGGGATTGCCAGGGACTTCCTTCCAGCTCCTTCTCTGAAGGGGGTCTGCCTCCTTAATGAAGTTAATTGACAATGTGATTTTTTTTTCTGGAAGCTTTTGAGAATCGCCAAGGCTGGTAAATGCGATCCTGCTCCTAGCGGGAGAAGTGGCCATAGGAATGCCTGGATCAGGAGCCTGGCTGCAGCAGAACAGGGTGTCAATATAGTCTGTCTGCTTCCCAGACCCAGCTCGAAACAAGGATGGATTGTTCCTGTAATTAGAAAAGTGATGAAGGGGGTTTTTCAGCTTGGGCCTGTGAGGGTTGGTACCTCTTAAGTGGTCTGGAGAAATCAGTTGCCATGCCACCCTTCCTAGTCCAGCCCATTGGGCAGCAGGAGCCTGGCAAAGTGCAGATGAGTCGATGCCTCTTCTGAGGACTGACAGAAAGAAACAACCTTCAAAGAAACCTTAGGGGCATTTCTCTTTAATGTATTTTTTCAGAAACTTTGCAAAAGCCCTTCAGAAAATCAGACAGCAGTGCCGGCACACCCAGCCCTTGTTGCTCTTGGAGTTGAGAGTTTAGTCAGTGACTACATTGACCTTACTGTGTGGGATTTTTTGCCATCCCCAATGCTCTGCAAGAAAGCTCCAGGGCAAGTCACTTCAGAGACTGTAGAGTGGAGCTTATATGCAGGGTCTCCAATGTTAATGTGGAACTTTGCATCAAAATTCCCAAAGACCTGTTTACTGTTTTCTTTGGAAGGATGGATGAGATGTTATAGAGGCCCAGCCCTTTGAGCAAGAAGGGATTCTTGGGTATATCATAGATGAGGAATCAGAAGGTCAAAGTAGATGAATGACTTTCTAGAACCTCACAATAAGTTAGGCTTCAGTCAGTTCCCCAATTCAGCCCAGTGCAGATTCTCCTTACCCAATAACTTTCAGAGTTAGAACTCCATTGCTCTGACTTGGCCTTCACTCCACCAAGTGGACTCCTTTCCCTGTCCCTTTAGGGGCTCTGCTTGGACCAAGCTAAGTATAGAACAGATATTCCTGCCACTGATGATAGCCCTTCTTCCATCAACTGAAGGACATAAGAGGGCATGTACATGCTTCTATTCAGCAAGTAAGCGTGAGCAGTAGGCACCCAAGAACATTCAAAGAATAGATCATCCACACCTTGCATGGCAAATGATTCCGACACACTTGCATGAGAAATCCATGCAGATTTCCCACTTTCCTACAAACTCCAGAAATCTTCATCCTCCACAGAGGGATCTGTCCCTTCCACAGGTATTGTCCCTCGGGTTCATGGAGAGTGCCTGAGATGGGACCCCCAAGTGAGCTCGACCCTTTCCTGCTACCTGTAGAGGGAACAGAGGCAGGAGGTACACCGAGACTCACACACCTGTCATAGGTGCCTTCTGGGAGAGGGTGATGAGTAGAGTGCTCAGGAAGACAGTGATCCCTGACTTGGACTCTAAGACTTGCCTCCCTGACTGGAGCTTTGCGGCTGTGTGTAGAGTACCATTGTTGTCCAACAAGGGTATTTGGGTGAGTGGTGACCAGTGTGGTTCACCATGGTTTAGGAAAGCAGGGGGTTGGAACCCAAGGGTCTCAGAGTGCCACCCACACACAACTTTCTGTAGCTCCCACCCAGCCCTGATGCTGTCTTGGCAGCGCAGGTATGCACTGCAAGGATAGCTGGCATTTGTCCATTTCCTGCCACATGCTTTCTGTGCCTCACCCCCAAGGTTGTAAAACTGTTGGCCCACCTCCAGAAACATGTGGAACAGCATCTTTCTCCTCTGTGGCCCCAGGGGGTATACACAGCAGTATGATAGACCCATCCACAGCCATTGTTTTCTGCTTAAACTTGAGAGCTTCAGCCTTCTCAGCGTGAGACCTGTTTTCCTTCATCCTACCCTTTTCTGCTTAATAGAGGTCCCACACAGTCCTGTCCCTATATCAGGATCACTCAGTGAGAGCTACAGCTTCCAGGCCCCTCTGTCCTAGAGTCCTGGTGTGTGGCAGGTTTAGTGCAGGCCAAAATGAAAGCCCAAGAAGAGCCTTCTATAAGAATTGGCAGTCTCCACAGGCTGCCTGAAGAGGGAAGGAAGGGCTGCCATCCCTGTGCTACTCCATCAAGGTCAGTAGGGAGCTCCTGTCCTCAGGACCAAAAGGTTCCCCTCTACCTAAGTCTCCTAGATTTCCCCAGTCAAGCCCACCACAGAGGCAGGCCTGCCTGGGTCCTCTGTGTCCTATAACTAAACTCCAAAATTCTCCCAGCCAAGAGATTGAGAAACTGAAATGGAGAAAGCCAGAAGCAGGACAACTAAAACTCAGAACATAGAGAAACAACCTCTAAGCTCCCTGAGGAAGAAGAAACAGCAAAAGCTAGTAGCACTTGACCTGAGCTATGCCCAGCCAGCAGGCTTGGGTGGTTCTCTGCAAACCTTCCCAAGTAGCCATACCCTCCTGTTTAAAAGGAAAGCAGGGCAGGTCAGTCCCTTGACTTCTCACCTCAGAGCTGGCCAAAGGCAGCTAGCCACCCAGCTAGCCCACAGTGACAGCCAGAACTGGTTGCCCTCAAAAGGGCCTCCCTGCTATAGGGCCTCACCCTTCATAAGCACTGGCACCTGCTGCTAGGGAGCCATGAGCATGAGTCACCAAAGGTTTTTTCCCTAAAGGTGTAGGTCCTCGCGTTGAAGCCCTGGAAGCACACTTCCCTCAGCTTCTCTTGCAGCTGAAGTAAATATAGTGCCAAATGCTTGTTTTCAGTAGGCTTTCACAAGGCGTACCAGGCACTCCCTCAGGAACCCACAGCATCCTGTCCCACTTTGACAGCAGTCACAGAGAGCTGCTACTGCAGCAGGCCAAGAGAGAGGTCTGTCCTTCAGTGGCTTATCTCATCACCCCTGAATGCCTGAATGGGAACAGATGGGAAGCTGGGAGCTTGGAGGGCCCAGAGTGCCCTTGGATCTCTCTGGACTGCAATTGCCCTGAGTCTCAAAGCCCTCCTCATCCTTCTCCCCTTAGAAAGGGCTTCCCATGATGATAGGGTTTTAGCCTGTGGGCCTCTCCATTCCTGTAATTTGGAGGCAGAAATAAAATGAGTTACCTCTGGAGTTTAGACAGGATTGGGCTTAAACTGCGGTATCTGGAGTTTTAGGTAACTAAGAGGGAGTGGGCTCTGCTGCCCTCAAGAATGTTCTGGCTCTGGGTACTGATGGTTCACAACTCTAATCCTAGCTACTCAGGAGGATGAGATCTGAAGATCACAGTTCAAAGCCAGCCCAGTCAAGAAAGTCTGTGAGACTCTTTATCTCTAATACCCAGAAAACCATGGCTCAAAGTAGCAGAGCACTAACCTTGAGCAAAAGAGCTCAGGGACAGAGCCCATGCCCCGAGGTCAAGTCCCATGACAGACCAAAAAAAAAAAGCAAAAAGAATGTTCTAACCTCAACTCAGGGTTCTGCAGTTCCACAGATCTGGAAAACAGAGCTATGGTTCCTCTTCACCACCCTATGCTCTCTAGTCCACCCTACCCTCACCACTACCCCCCCCCCCCCGTGTCTGATGCTACAATTTGTACTTGCCGGAGTTGACCTCCCTTACTAAGGGATCCTCCCCAGCCAGCAGCCAGCTTGAAGCAAAGTACTGGGTGAAGTAGACAGCTACATCTCCCTCTACCCACCAGCTCTAGGAAGCTGCTACTCAACTTGTGTCTCAAATCTCTTTCAGCCTCCAGGAGGAGTTCCTGGGACACAGCCATTGCTGCCCAATTCCATGGATCCCACACGACAACAAGGTAGAGAGGGCAAAACAGGTGCCTGGGCATGGGGAGGGCTTGTCTTGCCTTGACCTCTAACCTACTCCCTCCCACAGGCCACCCCAACATGGGAGGATCGATGCAGAGAATGAACCCTCCCCGAGGCATGGGGCCCATGGGTCCTGGCCCACAGGTAACCAGCCATCTATCTGTCTGTCTGTCTGTGCAGCCTTCTCCCCTGCCATCTGTGTGCACCCGCCTTCTCTCCCCTTTCCACAGTCTGTCTTCCACATCTCTGCAGGGCTAAGAGCAAGGGGGTGTCCAGGTTCCCAGCTCCCACCCTGTCTATAATGAGCAAGCAGCCAGCAGTGCAGAGGACCTGAGAGTGAGCATCATGAGAGCCAGCTCATTGGCAGAACCTGCTAACAACCTGATAACTTGGAGAATTTGAAAGGCAGAGAGTCTGGTACCATGAGCTGCAATGGGGGCCTCCAGAAATCCATAGCTGCCTGCCACTCAGCATGGAGTAGACCTGGGATAGGTTAGGAGTCGTTGTATGTAATGACCTGGAGACAGGACAAGTAAGTGGCAGTGTGTCACTCACTAGCAGTCTTTATGTGTCCTTGGACGAGTCACTCTGAATTCTCTGGCCCTCAGTTGGTCTGAATTTCTCTATCTGTTAAATGAAGGAGGGAGTCTCAGGGAAGGAGGAGCTCCTGCCCATTTGACCAGAGCACATCATTGCCCAGAAGAAATTATTTCAGGCGCCCCATGTACCTCTTCACAATGACAAGCAAAGCATTTGCCCCATATCCTATAGAGCAGGGCCATCTACACAAGAGTTGGTGGCTCTTCCTGCCTAGACCTTCTCACAGCTCCTCTCCTGCCCCCAAGTATTTAATGTGGCAGAGTTTAGTTTCACTGGTAATGCTCTAGAACCTGACTTACCTTTTTTTTTTTTTTCCTCTCCTAGTCATAGGGCTTGAACTTAGGGCCTGGGCACTGTCCCTGAGCTTCTTTTGTTCAAGGCTTGCACTCTACCACTTGAGCCACAGCACCCCTTCCAGCTTTTTCTCTTTATGTGGTACTGAGGAATTGAACCCAGGGCTTCATGCATGCTAAGCAAGTATTCTACAACTAAGCCACATTCCCAGCCTATAGAACCTGACGTTGCTGAGGGAAAAGGGCAGTACTGATGTTTGAACTCAAGGCTTTATGCAAGCTAGACATTGTTCTGCCATGTAAATCACACCTCCAGCTCTTTTTTGCCCACCCCTCCCCTTCTTCAGATAATGTCTTATAATCTTGCTCAGACTGTGATATACTGTGTTTCTGTGTAGCTGTAATTATTGGAATGTCCCACACATTGTTGTGATGGAGGTCTCACTAACATTACCTTAGCTGATCTTGAGCTATAATCCTCTTGATATCTGCCTCCTGAGTAGCTAGAATTAAAGGCATGTTCTACTGTATCTAATCTAGAACATGACTTTCCCAAGGAAGCTAGAAGTCTTCACATACTGAGAAGGTGGCTAAGTGGCTTCACACAGGGTTATATTCTAGAGCATTCCTTCCTTCCCTCCTTTTCTCCCCTGCTTAGATTTGCCTTGTTCTCCCTGCCTTGGTTGTAGGTGATAGAGATTCTCTGGGTCCTCCACAGGTATCTGGTTTCTCCAGGCTGGTGTAGTGCCTCCCATTTACACATGTGTTTTTTCTCCCTCTTCTTCTCCATCTCCTTCTCCCTCTCTTTCTCTCTCATTTTCTGGTGGTTAATTGGAGATACGAGTCTCATGGACTTTCTTACTAACCTTGCTGTCTTGGAACCATGATCCTCAGATTTTGGCCTTTGAATAGCTAAGATGACAGGCGTGAGCCATTTAATGCCTGGCTATTTGCTCTCTTGAAGGGAGACATCTATCCCATAGACCTAAAAGCCTCTGCTCACTCCAACAAACCGATCCACTGCTTGAAAGGTCTTAGGGAGGTCCTGTCCTTGGCTGAACCCATTCTGGAAGAAAATGAGCCTGCAGCGTTTGCAGCTCTGGTGTTCTTGTTTTATTCTTCTTCCATCCCTCAATGTTCACGTGTTCACCATCAACTTTCAAACCACCAAGTGACTACCTATGTGGGGCTGCTTATAAGAGGGGACAGGATCTGAAAACAGCACCCCTCTTCAGAGTCCAGAATGGCTCTCAGTACATGGCCTGCGCCACGTGGTAGACACTCTTGGTAGAGTCAGCAGTGGATTTGGGTTTTCAGTGTAATATGGGATCTGAGACCCCCATGGGGGTATGATCAGAGCCTCATTTGTAAGATGAGAGCAAGTGCAGCACCTTGCCTATAGGCTGTTGAAAGAAGGAAGATCAAGTTCTTCATATAGATAGCTAGACCTTGGTTATGGCTATGAAGTGTCCCAAACCCCTTCTTCCTGCAAAATCATAACAGTTTTTTAAGCATAAAGATTAAGAGGTATAGCTACAGCTCAGTGCTTGCTTGCCTAGCATGTGTAAGGCTCTGGATTCTATCCCAGCACAGAAGTGGGGAGAATTTGTGTAACTATAGTAAGTGTGGGGCTCTCAAAGCTGGCAATGGCTGCCCTCCCCATGTCTGAGACAGGTCTTCTGGAAGCTTAGTTAGGGCTTCCTCCTGGCTTAGGGTCTCTCAGGTGAACCAAGTATCCTCCTTTCAGTACAGTGCAAAGAGGTGAGGGCTCTAGTGGCTGAGATCTTGCTGAAAAGTCCTCTTGGTCTGAGAAGGCTGTTCTGGCCTCCCTCAGCAGTGTACAAGGGAAGGAGATGACAGCTAATGCTGCCCTGGAAACCTCAAGGGCTCACAAACATCCCTCTTGCCCTTTATTTTCTGTACCAAAACATGGAAACCCTTAAATATTTTGCCCATCTCTTGCACCCATATGGTTGGAGTGTAGTATTAAATTCCAGAATCAAGCTCCTCCACAGGCAGTCTAGAACATCTGTACCAGCCATCATTGGAGGCAGGAAGGCCTGGTGGTTGTATAGTCCTGGACCGTTTATGAAACAGCAGGCCAGGTGACATTCTCACTGGGCTCATGGTATGGCAGGGTGAGACAGTGACTGTGAACACCCACTTGGTATCCTGTGGATCCTGTCTTCTTCCTACAGGTCCTGTGCTCTGCCTCATGCTGCAGTCCAGGCCATAGTAAGTATACAGTCGCTGTAGATAGTCGACAGTAAGTGCCACTGTATCATGTAGTGAGACCAGACACAAAAGTGGAACACCACCATGTGTGATTCCCAGTGGGAATTAAATTGTGTTTAGCCAGTGACCAGAACTTTTTGAACTTGGGGCTACTTTATTGGTTTCAAAACAAGTAGAGTAACTTCTACCTTTTGAGCTCTATTGTGTTTCCACGTAAACATCCCAGAGGAGCCAGCATCCCAGGTGGTCCCTGCCCTTTGCCTCAGAGTCTCAAATGAGGTTCGCTCTGGGTTTCTGAAGTGACCAAGAGCACAAGGGAAGCAATACTGCACTTGGTTCCAGAAATTATGTGCCTGTCAGCTCTGCAGTGACCTTTGGTCCAAGAGTTTGGAAGGCAAATCCTGTTAGATAAGTCTAAAACTATAGGGCTTCTGGTCCCCTTGGAGTACAGAGGGTGCTACACTCCATGCAGGCCCCAAAGAGATCAGATCTCAGGGCATTGCCTGAGTAGTTGTTGTTCAGATTGGGAGCTAGAGTTAGATTATTTTGGCTTGTCTGTGTTTGAAAAGATTCACAGGAAGGATAATCTGCACTCTTCAGGGACTATCCTGCACTACCCAGAGAAACTGCATCTGTTGGTGCCCTTGCTGATCCAGGGCAGAGTCAAGCTCAGGGCTTCCAAGGAAGCAGAAGCTGGACTGGGAGCCTAGCTCAAGTGGTAGAATGCCTACCTAGCATTTGAAGGCCCTGAGTTCAAACTAAGGGTGAGGATGAAGGGTCATTAACTCTGGTGCAGAAGTCTCAGGAATGGGCAAGGATAGAGTAGGGCCTTGAGGAACCTCTCAGGGTAGGATGGCCATCCCCTGTGGTTTGAGGTTGGTTCCCTGGACAAGTGAGCCTAACAACTAGGTGGCTCCTCTACTGTTTAAAGGTGAAGAACAGGGTGGATCACAGGAAGCACTGATAGCACTGTGGAGGTCCCATAGGCCACTCTAGCAGGCCCTGCCCCTGTCCCATGTCTTCCCATCACCCCTTGGGCCAGCAGAGCAGACTGAAACCAAGAGGGTACAAGGCCTGTATTATTTCTGACTGAGTCAGACCCCTCTGCCCAGGGGATGAGGGTGAGGAGTGGGAGAGGATGGACCTGGGTGAACATGGCCATCCTGTTGCTCCAGAGCAGTGCTGAAAGAGATAAAGGGACAGCTTCTGGGTAGTAATATCCCCTCCAGCAACCCAGCACTTCTATAGGCAGGTGCTGCTGTCAGAGAGGACCCATCTCTAGAGTCTGAAATCTAGCTAGTAGTAAGCTTTCAGCTTGGTGTGAAAAGCTGCTCTTTCTAATTAGAAAACTTGGCCTCCAAACTTGATTTCAGCCTGGATTTCACTCCTACTTATTAAGGGACCTGGGGCAAGTCCTTGGCTTTTGTGGGCCTCCAGGTTGTCACTTGAGCAGTGGGAAGGGTGAGAGGCCCCCTAGGGTCTACATCTCTGGGAGGGAGATGTGGGGTTTCTCCATGCAGGAAGCTGCCTTGCTGGCTGGGTGAGAGGCTACTGCAGGCTATGTAGGTTGGTAGAGTTGGGAGTAAAAGGAGACGACACCCTGCCCTGGTGTGTGGGCTTTCCCCCTTGCCTGGTGAGGGGCAACTGTGGTTTTCTAGGAGGTCTCATGCTTCCCAGAAGACTTTTCTCATTAGCCAGCAGCATGGTGGGCAAAAAGCTGCCCTGAACGTGGTGAGCTTCCTTTGAGGGCAGGGGCTGGGTTTGTGGGGGACAGGAAGGAGTGGCTAGAAACAGCATTAAAGGGCTGGGAAGGTGGCTCAGTGGTAGAGTGCTTGCCTTGCATGCATGAGACCCTGGGTTCAATTCCTCATCACCATATAAAGCAGAAAAAGCCAGAAGTGACGCTGTGGCTCTAGTGGTAGAGCACTAGCCTTGAGCTGAAGAGCTGAGGGACAGGGCCCAAACCCAGAGTTCAGGCCCCACGACCAACAAAAAAAAAAAGAAAAAACAGCATTAAGGGCTGCTGCTGCCATTCCAAGTCAGTATGCACCCCTTCGGCTTTCAAAGTACTTAAGATCCAGCACTACACCATCTGTGGGAAGAGGGTAGAAGCTCATGGGCTCTTGGTCCCCATTTAAAACAAGCACAGCCCCGGCCACACTGTGGGCCTTGTCCCAGCTCAGTCATGCACACTGTGAAGCAGCAGCATCACTGTTCTGCAGCACCTCATTTCTTAAATCTCTTTTATGGGGATAGAAAAGTGGTTGCCACAAACATTTAATGTTGGTATAGTTCCATGCTGATAGCTCACACTATGATCCTAACTACTCAGGAGCCTGAGATCTAGAGGATCACAGTTCAAAGCTAGCCCAGACAGAAAAGTCTATGAGACTTTACCTCCAAAGTACCCAGAGGCATGGCTAAAGTAGTAGAGCTCTAGTCCAGCAATCATGAGGCTCTGTGTTCAAATCCCAGTACTGCAAAAAAAGGGGGGGCATGTAAAGCACATGGCCATGAATGTCATGGAGTAAGAATCGTCATTTATAGCTTGCCAAAACATCTGCAAGTGGTCAAGCTGAGGCTGGGTATCTGATTGCTGACCTCAAATCTCTGGCTCTGCTCACCACCTGCAGAGATGGGGAACATCTGACCCTATAAAACAGGCCCATGAAATCCTTCAGAGACAGACATTTGCTGCTTGTTGGCTGCTGGCGATGGCTAAGAATGCTGGCCTGCAGGATCCTGTCCCTGCTCACTGTCTTCTCAGACCTTGGTCTCCTTCTCTGTAGGATTACAAGGACAGAGACTGAATAAAGGTGTATTGTGTGCTCAATAAAGAGCAATACATGTTGGCTCTGCCATCCAAATTCTACCAAACTGTTACTTCCGATTCCCTGCCACAGTAGAGCTGCAGCAAGGCACAGTTTACTGCCCAGGCATGGGAGCATGCAGGAGCTTTGGGGAGCTTACGCCCCTGGAGTCCAGCAGGAGAGGTGGCACCTTAGGAGTCAGTGGGTAGAGCAGTGATCCCCTGGTGGGCAATGATGGCTCGCAGAGGTACTGCCCTCTGAGCTCCTACTCATCTGCTCGAAGCTTAAGTAGCTCCATGGGGGAACCCATACCTGTTTACCTTCCCCTGAGCCCTGTGGGAAAGGTGTCCGCTAGCAGCTTGCTTGACAGCCATGTGCTTTTGAGAACATCATCTTGAAGCCCCTATAATTGCATTGACTGTTGTGACTCTCCCTCTGTGCTGGCTTATCATCACGGTCCCTGTCACTTGGTCCCCACCCTGCCCCACCTTTTTCTGAAAGAATGTATTATTTTTTTCTCATCAGATCCTCTTCACAGACTAACCCTCTCGCTTATGTTCTGTGTTTGTCTTCCCTCCCTCCTTCTCTCTCCGGTTCCCCTTCTCCTTCTCATAGACTGACCCTTGGTTATCGTTGCAGAATTACGGCAGCGGCATGAGACCACCACCCAACTCCCTCGGCCCCGCCATGCCCGGGATTAACATGTAAGGCAAAAAGGCCCCAGCCAGTGGCTCAGAGCCCATGGCTTCCCTGCCCTCTGTTGGCACCTGGAAGACTCTTGCTAGGAGTTGGTGCTGGTGCTTCTCTGCCCCTCAGTGTCCTTATCAGTAAGAGGATGTTGACAAGCTGGGAACAAGAGTTCCGTGCTTATGTGTGCCAGGCCCAGTGCTGGGCGCCATGTAGCAAGTAGCCCATCTCATGTTCATATCACCCTGTGAGGGAGCTGTTAGGATCCTCCTCTTACAGCGGGGTCACTGAGGCACAGAGAGGTAAAGCAGCTTGTTAAGGCTCACAACTTATTGGCTGAGTCCAAATTTTAATGCCTATATAAATAGCCACTGTTCTCTAATGCTTTAGTCCTTTTTTAAACATTTTTTGTGAGAATCTGTGGACTGCCTTCCCGAGAAAATGCACATGCAGGAATTTTATATGTTATTTTATAAACATCATGTAATATGCGAATTTTACATATAATAAAGGGGTTTATAGATTTCCACATATGGACTACTTGTTGTTACCCCAGAGCCAGATAGCCTCTGGGACTCGGACTATGTGAAAGGTTTTCTGTTACTGATGTCAGCCTGCTCCTTCTGCCCCTGCTGGCTCATCCTCTTACAGCATTTTCATTGTCTCCATCTTTCCCTCTCAGGGGCCCGGGAGCTGGCAGACCCTGGCCCAATCCCAACAGTGCTAACTCAGTGAGTATCCAGGTCAGGTGGGGTCTTGGTGGCCAGTGAACAGGTCCTGGGAACAGGGTGGCTAGTGTCACTAGAGGAAGAAATACAGTAGAATTCTACCTGATGTCTCCAAAGAGGAGGCCACATGTATATAGGTGGAGCCTTGGGACCATGATAGAGCCAGGGTTGGCTCTATCACACTCAACACAGTTCTCAAAAGCTGAGAACCTGAACTTCAGGCATGTTGTCTGAGCAGGTTCTCCCTGCAAGGTGGCTTCTAGCCTTCAGAGGAAGGAGTGGTAAGGGGCTTGGCACAGACAAGCTGGAGGAGAAAAAGTGCTATCTCCTGGCCTCCTACACCAGAGGCCACCTAGGCCCCTCCCCCAGGCTCCTCACAGGATGGGACAAGTGACTAGCCTCCAGGAAGCACTTCAGTGTGGCATCAAGACCCAGGCTTTACTTCCATCCACGGCATCACACAGCTAGCTCACTAGGTCCCAGTCTTTTACCTAGAAGAGTGGGTGTGTCCTCAAGTGGGTTTGGAAGCAAAGGGGCACACCCTACCTACTGGGGGAGGTGACTCCAACATAGGGCTCCTACATCTCATTTCCAGATCCCGTACTCCTCTTCATCACCCGGTACCTATGTGGTAAGTGTGGCTATGGATACTGCCTGCCTGTGTGTGACTGATGGTGCAGCAGGGGAACAACTTAGAGTCCTATCTCATTCCCTGTCAAAACTCCCGCTGAACACAGGTTCCAAAGTCCTAGGCATGTGCAGGTCTACAGGGGCCCCAGGCATCCCCATAACTGACCTGGGGGCTCTGAGCTTCCATTTAAAACTTCTGACTTACCAGTTGCCATACACATAAGCACATGTGTACACATGCCCCCACAAGTGCCTGTGGGCTTGAGGAGAGGAAAGAGAAATTCAAGAACTCCCTGTAAACTCAGGTTTACAGCTCTGAATGTGCACCAAGGTTTAGCAAGAGATGAGTGCCAGGCTGGCCTGGGCATTGGGAGGGAATGCGTGGCCTCCTCATGCCTGTGACCACTGTGTGTAACTGATGCCAGCTTTTATCTCATCTCAGGGACCTCCTGGTGGTGGCGGCCCTCCAGGAACACCCATCATGCCTAGTCCTGCGGGTAAGAGGGTTTGAGGGAAAAGAATCTGGAGGGAAGATTGTTGGTGGGCCTGGAGTATAGGGCCCAGCCTTTCATCACGGGCTCCTGAGCGGCGTAACCTCCTTTGGAACTGCGATATTCAGGGATTTAGGGAGCTGTCAGCCTTTGATGCCCCTGCCCACCCTGTGGCCGCTGATCACACTTCTTCTGGTTCTTGAGTACTGCTCTGTAAAAAAACAAAGCTTTGCAGAGAGGTCTGGGAACAGGAGTCTTGTTGTCTTATTGTCCTATGTGGGCATTGCTATACACCACTCAAAACAGCCTGTAGGGCTAATGGGACCAGGATTCTAAGGAGAGTTCTATGCTTCTGTCCTCCTGAGAGGAAATTGCTTCTATCATGTTCTTTATCCAGAAAGCACATGTGAATACACATGAACATGTGCACACATGCATGCACATAGTTATTTCTTTCCCAGCTGAGCCTAGCCAGCCAGAGGAGTATAACATATAACCGCAAAATAAGAGAGGTAGCCAAGATTTCTGCCTGAGAAATACATTGCCTGTCCCCGACAGAAACGTGTTAGCTGATTGCTGATTTCCTAAGGAGACTTCTGTGGCTGAGTGGGGAATTCAGAGACCCCTCACCCCCAGCTTCCCATAGAGGGAAGCTGCTCAGCTACAGGGGTGGATACTGGCGGCGGCTGTGATGCTCAGCTCCCTCCCACACTCGCTCCCTCTTCCTCTGCTGCATTTTGATGAGCTTCATGACCTACATTCACACTGGGTCACGTTAACCCACTCCGTATGTTAATGTGCCTCCAGCCCCATCTCTGCTCCCCCTCCTGCCCCCTCCGCTTGGCAGGATAGCCCCTGGGTAATTTGCAGCCTTTCCCTTTCCCTGATTTGATTAAAGCCCGTGAGTGTGGTTATGGGGGCAGCACAGGTGCATTCTCACTGGCCCCATGATGCTCCAGTGTTTGGTGAGGACAAGGATGGGCCTGTAGTCCTCCTGGGTCGTGTCCACACTGATGCCCAGACACCCTGAAATTCTTCGTTTCGTGGTTGAGTGGTTTTTACAGTTAAATTTTCTGTGATTAAAAACTTTGTGAATCTTCATTAAATACAAATTAGCCAGAAAATGGTGGTACTTAGAGGAAATTTTAGGTGATAAAATACAAAAGAATGAGTTCAAGTGCCACAAGTTTGTTTTAATTAAGAAATGAATTAATCACCTCAACTTATGGGTTTGCACTATCCTACAGATTCAACAAATTCCAGTGACAACATCTACACCATGATTAATCCCGTGCCGCCTGGAGGCAGCCGGTCCAACGTAAGTCTGCTTTCTACTCATTTACATAGCAGATACCATAACAAATCATAATTAACTTCATCAGCTGAGGGGAAAGCAAGTCTAATTGATTTCAGCCATTTGTTACCAAAGATGAATAAAATAAACCATCAGAAAAGTGATTAACTCTTGGGCAACTCAGTTCCTGTTTCATAGCTGGCCGGGGTGGAAAGGATAGCATAGGGTGTCTCTGGTCAGGGTGAGGGCACTGGGCTTACTTTGAGGACCTGCTGTTGCATTGGGTGGGGGGCATACTTTGAAGCCCCAGGCTTCGAAGGCCTGCTCCCTGTGCCAGTGACTAGTTCTGCTACCCTGGGCAATCCTCTCTCCTGCTGTCTCTTTCTTGGGCTAAGGGTGAGGACCCCCACCCCAGGACGTGTGAAACTTTGGGGGACCCGTCTATCTCCTATTGTTGCCCTGAGCTCTGCTACGCCTGGGCCTGGCAGCTGTTTTGCTGCCATTCATGCCATACTCATGTCTAGAGGCCACTTCCCCCCTTCTTCCTCTCAGTTTAAAGTTCCAAACTTTGAAAGGCATTCCAGCCCAAGTCCCGCTTGTTCTGACTTCCACTTGCCCTCTTTTCTGGAGCCCGTTGGACACAACTTGCCTGTGCATCCATAGGTGCCTCACTCTGCTACCAGCTCCCCACAGACAGCCCCGGGTCCCTCTCTCCTCCAGATGCTCTGTTGGCTTTGTTGGCCCAGTTCCTGAGCTGAAACCCGAATCATCCAAATCAGTGCTCAGTGTGGGCTGTCTCTACTATGACTGCACACAGTTTTGTTTGCTTATTGGTGGTATTGGGTAACAATCTCAGTCCTTTGCATGTGTTAAACATGTGCTCCACTACTGAGCTGCACCCTAGCCCTGAAGACCAGACACATTTAATTTCCCCAGCAGCCTCCAAGGTCAGGCTCTTTGGCCAGGCACCTTCTTTGTGGGGGCCATGTGACCAATAACTGCAGGAAGCTCCATGTTCTTACCCTCCGCTGTCTGGTCCCACAGCTTCCTCACACCTCCTTACTAGGGTGACCAGTGTGTGGATTTGGGCATTAAAATTTCTGTTCCCCAGGGCACCACGTGTCCTTTTTCTTGGGAATGAATGTAGAGCTTGAGCGGAAAAATATGAAACCTATATAGGTCCTGAAGAGGTTGGTACACTGTTGAATTGGACATAGAGTCACTGTCAGTGCATTTTCCCTAACCAACATGGCTGGTGATTGTGACTTGGGTTCATTGTCCCTAGAGCTGTGGCCTACCACAGAGCTGCCTCTCACTGCTTGGTCATATTCACCTTGTATTTGTGTTGAGGTGGTGCTTGCTTCATTTTTAACATTGCAAATATGGTGACCGCGTGTTTCTAAGCGATCACATTGTGAAAATGGGAACCATGCCACTATCAGCAACAGCATGACCCAGACATAACAGAGAAAGAAAGCTGAATGACCATGTTATTTTAATGACAGGTAGAAGGACATAGACTGCTGGACTAGGGCAGTAAAGGACACGCACAGCCTGTAGACAGGAACTTGGGGGTAGGTGTGGCAGAAAGGGGATGAGGAAGCACCGGAGCCTGCATCTTTCAAGTGTGGGATGACACAGCCACGTCCTTCTGAATCAAAAGCCCTTTTTGTCCTCCAAAGACACACCGGTCTTCAGTCAAAAATAGCAGTCACTGAATTAGCTTGGGCATACCCTGGAAAGAACACCATTATCATCTCGTTCCCTGATTGCACCGTGAACTGAGAAGGTTACAGTTCCTGTTTGAGAGATTGCAATGAAAAGTCCTATGTGTGAACCAAATGGGGGGGGGGGGTAAAAGATTTGACTCATTTTGATCCTGACTGATCTTACCCATGACCCAGTGAATCAAAATTGATGTATTGAATCTTAGCAACACAAGCAAGTTTGTTATGGCTGAGGGTCTAGCTCAGTGTTTGAGCACCTGCCTAGCATACATAGTTTATTGAGGGTCCTCAGCACCCCCAGTAAACAGAACAAAAAAGAAGCTCCTACTAGGTCTTTTGAGCATTGATTTGAAAGTTGGGAATTTTAGATCACCTTGGTTTGTATGAAGATTGAAACTGAAGGATGAACACAGAAGAATGTTGCTTATACAGATAGAAAGTAGGCTTTACTCATTTATCTGATAGCTGGCAAACAATACACAATACACTAGTAGTTTCATTTAGTCTATATCTTGTTTTTGTTTTTGTTTTGTTGAACTCAGGGTCTAGACACTGTCCCTAAGCTTTTTTGCTCAAGGCTAGTATTCTACCACTTTGAGCCACAGCTCCACTTCCAGTGTTTAGGTGGTCTATTGAAGATAAGAGTCTCATGGATTTTCCTGCCTGGGCAAGCTCAAACCTCAGTCTCAGCCTACTGAGTAGCTAGGATTACAGACGTGAGCCACCACCACCCGGCTTAGTCTGTATCTTTTTACAACAAAAACAGAAACATCTTAATGTTCTATACCTTTGCACCTAGTTACTACCACAAAAGGTATGATTTGCCTTCCTGGGACACTAGCTTTTATGATGGAAGTTTGGGTCACTTTTCAACTTCCTCAAATCATGCAGAAGAATTGAATGGGTTTTTTTACTCCACAGAAACAGAATTTCTCAAAACAGGTGCCTACAAGATAAGGTTATCGTTGGAGCTGGGAATGTGGCTTAGTGGTAGGGTGCCTGCCTAGCATGCATGAAGCCCTGGTTTCAATTCCTCAGTGCCACATAAACAAAAAGCTGGAAGTGGCACTATGGCTCAAATGGTATAATGCTAGCCTTTAGCAAAAGAAGCTCAGGAACTGTACTCAGACCCTGAGTTCAAGCCCCAGGGTGGGGACTGGGGGGGGGGGGTGAGATGGTTATCATTGTTGTAGCCATAGAAAAGATGTTGAAAGACTGGCCTGCTAGGAAAATTCCTATTTTTTGAAAGTGCAAAGCAAGAAGGATTGTCCATCTCTGATCTGGAAGTCCATTGCATTGAAATCAGACAAAGAATCACAGTAAAGGGGAGAGGAGCACATTCTTTCTCCCCCAGTGTGTTCATCTTTAAAGAGGCCATGATGGGCCCAGAAGGGGTGAGCCAATCACACCTGAATTGTTCAGCATCATGTGGAGGTTGCGGCAAGACCTATGCCATAGAAATCACGACTTTTTAAATGAGACTGCTTGAAAATTCAAAAAACAGTCAGAAGGAAGGGCAGCCAAGTTAAACAGTACTTTCAGTTTCTTTATTAAGACTAACTTCCTTGGAATCCAGGTTAGATCTCAGAAGTTCGGATTACCTCTGTGTTTAAACCCGTTTTTTCTCTCTAGTACTCCCCACCCTCCACCCCCCACCCCCCAAAAGGATGTCACTGTGTTGCCTAGGCTTAAGCCATCCTCTGGAATAGCTGGGAGTATAGGGACTAAGAAAATGAGCTTTGATTGAGCATAGCCTGTATCCCACGTGTGCTTGGTGTGGTTTTGCAAATGATGGACGTCGTAGGCCAAGTGGTCATCCAGTGAACTTGTAGCTAACTGCAGGTGCTGGCTGCCAGGCAGCTGGTCAAAGCCAACTATAGTCATAAGGGGGATGCAGCTCTTGAGGTGCTGGAAATAATTCCACAAACCTGTGCTGATAAGAAAAGTTCTCCATGGTCCTAGTGTGAACAGGATTGTGAAAGGATTATCTGGTGTTAGGTTGAACTGATGGTTGTCCTGCAGGCTGCAGAAGGGCAGACAATTCAAGTGAGCTTTACATTTGACTCTGTTCCTGTTTCCACTGTATTAAAAAAAAAAAAAATGTCCTAATGGCTACAGGTACTTCAGACATTGTCAAAGGAAACAAAAATCTCCTATGTGGTCATGCAGAAGGAAAAGGCTAAATTACTGTATTAGAGGACAGAAACATTATAAAAAATGTTTTATTTTTCTCACATTATCATTACTTAAACCAGCCTGCCTGCTCCTGTTACATTATTTCAATAGTAGCATTTATGTAACAGAAAAGTAAGTCTTGCAGAGTACATGGTTCCAGATAAGACAGCTGGCCATCCACAGGTAAGCTATAGGGATAAACCTATAAAACATGCAGAAGAAATACATCAGCAATTCTTCATGGTCTATGTTAAACATGCTTAGATATAACATCACCTGCACAAGGAACAGAAGAAAAAAGTAGAAAAACTGGACTTTTTGTGCATTGGTATGTGTCTATAGTCACAGATACTCCAGATGGCAACATAGTGACACTTTTTTGGGGGGCGGGGGGAGTGGGCAGTACTAGGGTTTGAACTTGGAACCAGACAATTGCTCAGCTGGTGCTCTATCACTTGAACCATGTCTCTAAGCCCTGCTTTTTGCTGGTTATTTTGGAGATGAAGTCTCATGGACTTTTCTACCCAGACAGGCTTCATCCCTCCGTCTTCAGATTTAAGCATTCTTAAGTAACTAAACTTTTTTATCTATTAGGAAAAATCAAATGGAACACAGTAAAGTGCCACGTCACCCCCCAAATATAGCTAGTGACTAGTTCTGGGAGGATATGGAGACACCAAAACCTTGCTTTGCTGGTGAGAATGTTAAATGGTGCAGCTGCTGTGGAAAACAGTCTGGCAGGACCAAGAAAGGTCAAACATAGGATGACCATATGACCCAGCAATTGTATTTCTAGAAATGAGCATGTGCCCACACAGTGCCTTGCATGCAAAATTGGTGTTTCAACAGCCAAGACTGGGAACATCCTGAATGGACTGTCAAGTGATGAGCGCATAGCTGAAGCATGATGCACCCGTACAGTGCAGAAGGAATAATGCAGCTGGGTGCCAGTGGCTGTGGTCTATAACCCTAGCTATTCAGGAGGCTGAGATCTGGAGGATCATAATTCAGAGTTAGGGTTAGAGACATGGCCCAAGTGGTATAGAGTTACCAGCTTAGCTAGCAAAGCCAAGCAAGCAAAAGGGCCCTGAGTTCAAACCCTAGTACTGCCCCTCCCCCTCCAAAAAGTCAAATTCTAGTGTATTTAACAACATTCGAAGTGAAAAAGTCAGCAAAAAAAAGTGTGTGATTCCCTTTACACTCGATATCCAGTTTAAGCAAATCCACAGATACAAAAAGTAGATTCATGGTTGTCTGAGGTTGGGGGAGAAAGAACACTGAGGACTGACAGCTAGCAGGCACACAGTTTCTTTGTGGGAGATGGAAATATTCTGAAATTGATTGTGGTGATAGTTGCACAACCCTATGAGTGCACTAAAAAACACTGAATTGTACACTTCAAATGGGACAAACACAAAAATGTAATTCCAAGTAAATACCTGACTGTTAAGTATTTATGTTAAGGTAATGACATGCATTTATGTTGAAGTGATAACGTATATATGAGCATACATTATGTTAGCATGTTCGGGATATTTGGCTAGATTCTGGGTTCCAGGGTTTGGGGTTTTTTTTGGTCAGTTGTGGGGCTTGAACTCTGGGTTTGGGCGCTGTTCCTGTGCTCTTCAGCTTAAGGCAAGTGCTCTACCACTTGAGCCACAGCGTCACTTCCGGTTTTTTAGTGGTTTATTGGAGATAAGAGTCTCACAGACTTTCCTGCCCGGGCTGGCTTTGAACCGTGATCCTCAGATCTCAGCCTCCTGAGTAGCTAGGATTACAGGCATAGGCCACCGGCGCCCAGCACCAGGGTTTTGCAAACATTAATCACTCTTGTTCTCATATTGCATAGGATAGTAAACACCAAGTTAGTTAGCACAGAGGGAGGTAAGGTGCTAAACCCCAGAGTGGCATAGGGGGGTGAGTAGGGAAGCAACTCCTCCCAGCCCCATCTTGGAATCTGTCTGGGCCTTGCTTCCTGCACGCCATGCTCTGTCCTGCCCCTCCATGCTGCCAGCCCCCTACATGGCTTTTTGCTCTTGCAGGATGTCTAGCCTGCCTTTGCCTGCCCAGATTCTACCCCTCAGTTGTGCTCATGCTCAGCTTTGTATCCTCAGCACCTAGTGCAGGCCAGGTGCCTAACAGTGCTCTGGCCTTTGGTTGCCTCCTCGTAGGTGGGTTTGGTAGTTGTAGGCAGCCTGCGGATGGAGAAGGATGGATCTCTCTAGGTTCGGATTTGCCTGCCCTATCTGTTTGTGAAAGGCTTATCAGCTATCCCAGCACTGACTGGTCCCGTTTCTGTTGCCCCTAAAATGTATTCATGCTTAAGGAGGTACATGGAGGAGACTAGTAGACAGCCCTGGGCCAGACTGCCAGGCCTTCATCTCTGCTGTTTGTAAAAGGTACATAAAAAGCATGCATAATTTTGGCCCCCGGCCTGCCACTGCCAGATACCTGTGTGGCTGCAGCTGGTGAGTCAGGCTCTGCACGTAGGGATGGAATGAGCACTATTGATTGAGAACTGGGTGGCCTTTAGCCAGTCCTTTTCCCTGGGTTTGTCCCTTTGCCCAGTACCCAGGAGCCTGCTGCTCTATCCAGTTAGGTGCACTTAACTCGGGCTGGTACAAGGAGCAGGTACCAGAATGGAGGTTCCTGGGCTGCTGTGGTGTAGGGCTTGTGTCCTCAAAGGTTTATTGGCCAACTCACTGGGTAGGGGAGCCATGAAGGATGTTGAGAGCCTGGGCCTACTAAGCCATGCTCTGTTGCTTCTCCCTCAGTTCCCAATGGGTCCTGGCTCAGACGGCCCGATGGGAGGCATGGGTGGCATGGAGCCACACCACATGAATGGATCACTAGGTAAGCTAACTCCAGTCCTGAGTCACATTCCCATTGTCCCTTGCCTAACTCTCCTAACTACTTGCCCTCTGTCTGGGCTCCTGGCCCAACAGGACTGGTATATATCATTCTTAGATGTCTTTCTTTTGTGGGTCATGGGGCTCGAACTCAGGGCCAAGGAGCTGTCCCTGAGCTCTTTTGCTCAAGGGTAGTGTTCTACCACTTTAAGGCACAGCTTCACTTCTGGTTTTCTGGTAAATTGGAGATAAGAGTCTCAGGACTAGACAGGCGCCAGTGGCTCACTGAAATCCTAGCTACTCAGGAGGCTGAGATCTGAGGATCGTGGTTCAAAGCCAGCCCCGGCAGGAGAGTCTTGAGACTCTTTATCTCCAATAAAACAACCAGAAAACCTGAAGTTGTGCTGTGGCTCAATTGGTAGAGCACTAACCTTGAGCTGAAGAACTCAGGGACATCACCCAAGCCTAGAGTTCAAGTCCCACAACCGACCAAAAAAAAAAAAAAGTCTCAGGATTTTCTTGCCCAGGCTTGCTTCAAACCATGATGCACAAATCTCAGCTTCCTGAGTAGCTAGGTTTACAGCCATGAGCCACCAGTGCCCAACTCGTCTTAGATGTCTTGACACATAAGAAGCTCCATACCCAGACAGGAAATTCTCTGCATAGATAGAATGTGGGATCTAGGGGAAGCCCAAGGAAGAGGCTGGAGATCTTCCAGGAAAAATGAGCAAGAAACTAAATTGGATTGATTCTTCTTTCCTTCCAGGGTCAGGTGACATAGACGGACTTCCAAAAGTGAGTATGCACTGTCTGTCTCCTCCCTGGCATACCCATTCATGGGGGCAGGAGCTTGGAGAGACAGGCTCACTCTCCTCTCTTCGTTCTACAGAATTCTCCTAACAACATAAGTGGCATTAGCAATCCTCCGGGCACCCCTCGAGACGATGGCGAGCTAGGAGGGAATTTCCTCCACTCCTTCCAGAATGACAACGTAAGGCAGCATGTTCCTCTTACACCTGGGTCCTAGTCCTTTTGGTCAGGCCTGGGAACCCTCACAAGCTACTGACTGTGAGTCTGGTCTGCACTCGATGCTGTGGGCTTCTCACCTCCATTTCACCTAGCCACTGCCCAGCCTAGAGGGACTACAGGCTAACCTGACAAGCCTTGGACTGAGAGCGAGCCAGCAGCAGGGCAGCATTGCCCCAGGAGCCCATTTCTACTTGGCCTTGGGAGGAAGAGCCATGCAACCAGGCATTTCAGGGTGTCAGGGCCCACCCATATGCTGCCCATAGTGGGCTTTTTGTATACTTGCCTTTCCAGAGAACAACCTTGGAGAACCCCTGACTGGCCCCCAGCCAGGGTACCCTGGTGGAGCCCTGGCTCCCCAAAGCTCAACTCCCTGCTGTCTCAGCTGCCCAGAAGAGGCGGCTGCCAGAGTTCTGAAGGGCACACAGGCTGGTCCTAGTAGTGGCCTTTAGTCCTCACTTCCTAGCCCTCATCTTGGCCCTGTCCAGCTGTCACTGAACCTTCAAAACCTTTATCAGGCCCCTTGGGAACTCACGCCCTTCTCTCCTCTCATTCTTCCCTCAGTATTCTCCAAGCATGACGATGAGTGTGTGACCCCCCTGTCCGAGATGCTGAGAGCCGGCATTGTAGGCGGAAGATGCCAGAAATTATGCAAGAAGTGAGGTGTCGTTACCAGGAGCTGGGGGAGGGCATCTCCCATCCCCTCTCCATCCCCCTCCACTCCCTCCTACCTTTCCAATTTTAGTTTCATGCAATAAAAAGGCTGAACTTTTTATTTCATAAAACATGAAGGACAGAACTCAAAAGCAAAAATGTATTTCAAGTCAGTGACCAGAAAAATCCCACCCCTTGCCCTTTCTTGAAAGGGCCTTTTCTGTAATGACATTTTTTGTTTTTTGAGGGTTTTTTTTTTGTCTTGGGTTTTATCATTGCTGGGATTTTGTTGTTGTTTTCAAGGGGAAAGGGTTTGGGACAGTAATTTTTAAACACGGAAGCTTCTAGCAAGCCCTCCACCCCAATCAACCTCTGTTTTCTTCTTAAAAAAAAAAAAGGAAAAGGAAAAGGGCAAAAAAAAAAAAAAAGAAAAAGAAAGAGGGAAGGAAAAGGAAAAAAAACCCCACAAGCCCTGCTGTCTTATCTGTCCGTCCCCAGGCCCTTCCACCTGGAACCTAGTATAGGTGTGAGATGTCACACTGTTTGTAGCCATCTCAAAACAATAAACTGGACAGTTCGCAATCAGTGGTTTCTTTTACAAAGCTGCTTTGGGAAAGGAAGGAAAGGAAATCACCCTTTTCCAGCTGGTGTTTTGGCCTGGTTAGTGACAGCAGCGCACCTGGACGCCCAGCCCACCCCCATCACATGGGCCAGACCACCCGCCCTGCCACGCGCAGCCGAGACCACCGCCGGACCGGCGCATGCACTGTGTTCCCAGGACTGCTTCCTCTCCCGGACTTCTGTCCGCCCAGCCTCCCTGCCTCCACAGCCCCTCCTCAGCCCCCACCAGCTTCACTGGATGACTGTGACCTGGCCATGGAAACTGTGACCTCCACGTTCTGGTCCCGGGCTTCTCACACCGTCACTTCCGTGCGCAAGGGCAGGGTGGGCTGGAGTTTGGGTTTTTTTTTATTCTCTCTTTGTTTGCCCTTTTTCAAAGACAAGAAACTGAGCAGAATTGCTCTGTATATGCTTGGAACTGGATGGAAAGACTTTGGCATAGCTGTGGGGGTGGGGGAGCACCAGCAACCAAACAGACATGCTGTTTCCAGTCCTATTTTTTTTTTGTTTTGTTTTGTTTTTCAAAAGCCGACAAACCCAATGGTGGAGCCTGTCCCCTCCCGGGAGGGGGAGACTGGCAGCCTCCCTCACCTCACCCCTGCGGGAACCTGCGTGTCTTGCCCTGGAAGACACGGAATTCTTTGTACATTTACACTCCCCCCTCCTCGCCCCCCCTCGCCCCTCCCTCGTAGCTGGTCTTTGTTTTCTTACCTCCCCTTTCTGACCCATGTATATCATATTATGTGAGATACCATCTGCCTGAAAAAAAGACCTTGTGCGGATTATTGGGAACATTGTAGCTGTTTCTGTGTTTTTTCTTACCTTGTAGTCTGGTTCTGAATTATGAGAGGAAAAAAAAAAGTAATTATGATACATTGTAGTTTGTGTACGATATATGTTGATAACGTTTTATTAAAGGGACATCTTTTTTCCGCAGCCCTTCCTGACATGTTTGGGGGACATGGGTTGGAGTTTATTATGCTGATTGTAAAGTATATGGCAACTCATGAAGTATAGATTCTGTGCCTGGCTCAGGCCTGGTGACATTGCCTTCTTTTCCTGGGCATGTCCGTGCTGTGTTTTGGGGAAAGCTGCCCCGGTGGCCCCTGGGGATGTGGGTTGGGAGGGTCCCCCCAGTCTCCCTCAAAATATTGGGAGCCTGCTAACAGTTCCAGTTTCTTGTCCTGAAAACACGCTTACTTTGTTGGAACATCTTTGTTTCTGGAAATAGGAAAAGGTCCCAGGAGCTCGCTGTTTTGTAAGGCTCAGATGGCCAGGCTGGTCCTGGGGGTTGCCACCACTTCTTCAGATAGGAATTTTGCCAAGGCCTTTCCCTGAAGTGCCTGGTGTGTTAGCGACTGTGGGGTGATACACCAGGCTACTGTTTTCTTTTGTTGGTACTGGGGTTTGAACTCACTCAGAGCCTCATGCTTGCTAGGCAGGTGTTCTACCACTGGAGCCATACCCCAGCCCTTTGTGCCTTAGTTATTTTTCAGATTAGGTCTTACATTTTTGTGCAGGCTGGTCTGAGTTAGTATCCTCCTAATGAGGTTCCCAGGTGGCTGGAGTGACAGCTGCATACAACTGTGTCCAACCTTTTTTTAGAAAGGATCTCAACTATTTTGTTTAGGCTGGCCACCTACTCCTCCACAACACTATCCACAAGAAACTGGGATTTCAGGCATGAACTACCATGCCCAGGCACTCTAGAAGGATTTTGGTGGTGGTGGTCATAGGGCTTGAACGCTGGTCGTGGGCACTCTGATTTTCTGGTGGTTAATTGGAGGTAAGAGTCTCACAGACTTTCCTGCCCCGGCTGGCTTTGAACCGCAATCCTCAGATCTCAGCCTCCTGAATAGCTAGGATTACAGGCGTGAACCACCAGTCCCCTGCTACCCTGGAAGGATTTTAAGAGTAGCACAGACCTAAAGTTTAGAGAGGTCAACAGGTGAGGCTGTCAGGATGTGGGTAAACTGTTCCCAGCTGTCATGTGGGCAGGAAATGCTGAGGGCAGGGATAAGAAGAGAGGCAGAAGACAGGGTGGGACTGACTTGATAGTGTTTGGGGAGCAGAGCTGGCACCCTCGAGCATCTCATTTAAAGCCTAGGCAGAGCCCAAGCAAGGTGAGAATTGAGTTTCTAAGGATCGTGGGAACAGACTGCACAACGCCATGTTAAAATCTTGCCTTTGTCTCTACTTGCAGTGTGGCAAGGTTTGTTTGTACCTCTGTCCCTGGGTTTCCTCATGTGTGATATGGGGATAATGATTTACCTACCTCGTAGGATGTGAAATATCCTTGCTGGACAGATGAGGGGACCTAGGCTGTGACTGGCCCTCACTGGCACCTCCTCAGAACTGCCTGCTCAGTGATGGGGTTCCCCAGAGGAACTGAGAGCAGACAGGGACTGTGGACAAGTGCTGAGAAAGAGAAAGCGCTAGATCATTGAGAGGCCCCATGAGCGCTCTTCCCTGCCGCCCTACTGCTGCAGCTCCCAGACAGTGCCTGTCATCCTGCACAGCCCCATGGCCCTGGTGAAGGTTCATTCAGGCTGGCCCACCCAACCTTGAGGAAAAGACTGATTCTTCCTGCCGTATCATCACTGCACCTCCCAGGCCTGGCTAAGAGATGAGGACCAGGCTGGAGCTCTACTTCGTGCTGGTGGCCAGCATCCTGAAGGAAGGCTTTAGTAGCTCATCCCAGAAGCAGACAGGAGTAGTACAGGAGTCAGACCCAGGGTAACCACTGCTGCATGTGAACATACATGTGAGTGTGTGTGCCAGTACTGGGGCTTAAACGCAAGACCTTATACTCTCATTTGGCTTTTTTACTCACGGGTGCCCAAGCTGGCTTTAAACCGTGATCCTCAGATCTCAGCCTCCTCAGTGGCTATGATTATGGGCGTGAGCCACCAGCACCTGGCCCACTCCTTTCCTGTTAGTCCACAAGACACCTGGCTAGGAGCCCACAGCAGGGGAAAGGCTGGCCTTGCTGAATACCTGGTTTCTCTTGGCTCCCTCAAATCAGCATCTACACACACATGTGTGCGCATGCGCACCTGGGAAAGTAGAACCTGGACTTCAATGACCTGTGGAGACCCTTCTGTCCATGAATACAGGGAGACTGGGTGCTTCAAGATTCATAGACCTGGCTGGGAAGGTGGCTCAGTGGTAGAGTGCTTGCCTCGCATGCATAAGGCCCTGGGTTCAATTCCTCAGCACCACATAAGCAAAAAAAAAGGAAGTGGCGTTGTGGCTCAAGTGGTAGAGTGCTAGCCTTGAGCTGAAGAGCCAAGGGACAGCACCCAGGCCCAGAGTTCAGGCCATGACCAACAAAAAAAAAAAAAGATTCATAGACCTCAGGAGCCTAACAATGGCTCTGGCCCTGACTCAAGTGGATCTGGGCCCACTGGCTTCCCCGGGACTTAACTTTAGGGCTAGGCAGGGAGGAATTAGGGCCTACTCAGGGAAAGGGCTGACCCTACTCTACCCAACTCTGGGATCACAGGGCTTAGCATTGGGGCTTGAGGTTAGATACAAAGGACCAGATGTCCAGGGAGGATGGGACTGTGGAGCCCAGAATCTGTCGTCTAGACATTCAGCCACCTCCTCAATTCTCTGCCTCCATCTCAGCCTTTCTAGGGCTCCCAAATCTCCCTCTGAGCCTCTACAGACTTTACTTCCATCCATTCACCATGTGTTTGTTGAGAAGACCTGGAAGGATGGTGCTGCACCTCCCTCGCCAAAGGTGGGGCTGGAATGGCTCAGGCAAATTAAATTGAGGTGGCATAAGACTGACTGAAATCACCTGGGAAGTGGAGCCAGGCCCAGGATAGGACGCTGGGGCTGTTAGTAATCAGAAACAGGAGGGACCAGCTGAGGCAGAGAAGAGGAGAAAAGAGAGGAAAGAGGGAAGGAGGGCCTAGGAGGAAAGCAAAGGGTTCTAAGGCCGAGTACAGTGTGCCCTGAGCTGTGGGGGCCCTGAGTTAGGGGTGAGGGGCTGAGGCCAAGTTTACACTCATCAACCTCTATAGATATGGGCCATGGGCTGTCCTGCATTTTCTTGTTCCTCACCACTTCAGGCCCAACTGTATAGAACTCTGGAGGGCTTTTTGGCCTAGGACATTGGTTCTCTCTGCCCTGCTCTGGCTGGGCCTCTCCTAGTTCCTTATGGAACCCAGATCAATTGGCTCCATCATCAGGAGGCTCCTAGGCTGGGGCAGCTGCCTGGGTCCCCAGGGCTCCTGTGCTCTGTGGTTCTATACCTGCCCCCTTTAGCAAGGAGCGATGTCATCCTCATCACCATCCACCCAGCTCAGAGCCCAGATCCCATGGGTGCCCAGTGAGTGTTCCTGGAGAAACTGGAAGCTAGTGAGTAGCTGTCCCTAGAATGTGCTTAGGACACCTGTCCCCATCGCATGCTGTCACCTGAGGCAGGTGCTTAGGCAAGGGGTCTAAAGGAACCTGGCTGCAGACTGGAGCTCCCAGGAACAGAGAGTGTGACACCCTTATTTTATATCCCTAAATTCCCAGCACAATACCTGGCACACAGTAGGTGCTTCTTTATTCTATTTGGTCAGTCACGGGACTTGAACCCAGGGCCCAAGCAACTGTCCCTCACTCTTATTACTCAAGTCTAGCACTCTACCACTTTGTGCCAAAGTGCCACTTCTGGTTTCTGGTTAATTGGAGATAAGCATTTCACAGACTTTCTTGTCGGAGCTGCCTGGAACTGTGAGATGGAGTGTCCGAGATCCATAGTGGGGAACCTCATATCTCAGTCCCGGGTCCTGCCCAGTTCTTGGGTTCCTTCACTGGCCTGTCTGAGGAGACCCATGGTTGTGGATATGTTGGGCTCAGGTGGAGGTCCTGCCCTGAGCAGCAGGTCCACTCCCTTGATGAGACTTTGGGTCTGAGGAAATGTGACTTGAGATGTTCAGCCATGGGACAAAGAATCTCAGCAACAACCAAGACAGTGTGTCCAAGATGGAAGGCACCAGCCTTGCTCTACATGTCTCCTAACCAGCTGAAGCAGCAGGGCCCCGGCCCTGCTCTGTGATGTGGACTGGAGCAGGCAGCTGAGACAAATGGTGAACTGAGACGTGAGACAGGATCAGAGGGAGAGAGGCAGACACTGAGCTGAGCACCCAGGGTCCGGCCTTTCAACCCTTCAGGGGTGGGAGACTAGCTAGCAATGGGTCCCCAGAAGGCAGAGCTGGGACCTTGAATTGAAGTTGCAGTATAACTCTTCCTGGCAGAGCTGCCAAGGAGTGAGTTCCCAGTATTGGGAGTGTGCAAACTAGTTGGGGCAAGAGAGTGGGCATGTTTTAACAGGTGTGTTGATTTGGGATCCCAGGTCCATGGCAGGGGAAGACAAACATGCCCTTCTCAAGGGCAAGGCTAGAGTGAGAACTAGCTCACTTGGACCCTAAGAGGCCCCTCCTGACTTTGGGCTGGATCACCAACTATAAAAGAAGTCAGTCCTGTGCTGGGTGTGGTAGTGCACACCTGTAATTCTAGCTACTCAAGAGGTGGAGGCAAGAGGATAACCAGACTCTATCTCAAAACAAAAATAAAAGGGCTGTGGGTAGGGCTCAAGTGGTAGAGTATTTGCATAGCCTGTGCAAGGCACTGGGTTCAGTTCCTGATACTTGAAAATAAAGTAAAACAGACGTCAGGCTTCCGTAACCTCTGACATGGTGGAGCAGGGGCACAGGTCCGGATGGCTGTACCCCCTGACCATGACCATTTCAGAGCTCCCAGTGTCCCCAGGTATTGTCCTGGCCTGCTCCCACCTTCTACCCTGGCCTCTATCCAAATAAATGGCAGTCTCAGAGGCCCTTCTGGACTTGTTACCTAACGTAGCACCCCTGGCCCTGGGAGGGAAGGGCTGACAACCTCACAGCAACTGCCAAGTGGTCTCCTCAAGGTTTCCCCCTCCCAAGTAGTGGTCGTGGTGGAGGTGGGCCCAGGCCCCACATTACTGCTCTCTGAATGGCCATCCCTCCAGCCCTCCCTCTAATTCTGCCTCCTGAATGCTTCACGGTGTCTGTAAGGGAACACCCCGATGAACAGTCAACCCCAACTCTTTCTTCGCATTTCTCCTATCACTGACACACCAGGTCTCCCCCACAACCCCTCTGGCTTCCCACAGAGGAATGCGAATGCTTCCAGAGCAGGGACTTGCTTTGTTTGCTACTCTGAATCTAGTCACTGCTGAGTGCTCCTGAGTGAACCAGTGGCTAGGAACTCATCATTCAGATCAAGACGCTGGCATTAGGACTGCAGCACATGCCTATCTCTGAAGGCACCCCATGTGTCAGCAGAGGGTTCCCACGCCAGAGGGACCTTCAGCAGTCACATGGGAAGGGTTGATGGTCACAGAGACTGAATATTCTCAATGAAGGCCCAGGATGAGTGACTTGGGTGACAGGCACACGGCAGAAGGCGCCAAGGAGATGTCTGTGCCGACCTGCCTGGTGCCTTCCCAGCCTTGGACCAGCAGCAAGCCAGCCTTGGGAGAAGACAGAGAACAGTCTAAAGTGAGCAACGCCCCTCGCCCTGAAAAAAAAAGCCCCCCAAATCTACCTCTCAGGGGTTTCTGAAAACTCCATATCCATCTAGCCAAAACCTTTTAACCAAGAGCAACTGGACTGAAATCCTGGAGGGAAGCGCTTTAGCCCCACTCACCAAAGAGGCTGGGGATCTGAGGCTGGCTGCATGCAGAAGGCTCTTGGAATGCCTGCCTCCCCACCCCCACCCCATCCCCGGCTACCAAACTCCTAATTCCCTTGTCCGTGAAGTCTGCTGGAAACAAACTGAGCCAGGCACTTACATAGATGACACTATGAGAAATGTGTTCACATCCAAGTTCACAATAGGGGTGCCATCTTGGTTCTAAGTCTACTGCTTAAGCGGTCCCTTTGTGGCTTTCCATTGCCAGTGTCTTCCTGCTTCCTTCTCCCGATTCAAGACTGCCTGTGGGAAACTGCCCACAGGTTCTTAAGCGAGACTTCACACCACCCCATAAGGAATGCAGGGTGGTAGATGAGGCGGTGACACTGGGGACTTGGGGAAGGAAGGGTATCTGTGGAGGGGGGAGCTGTCACCACATAGAAACTTTGGTCTTGGGCATGCTCGATGCACTGGCCACCCCTGGCCTCAGTATATGCATCAGCCGTCCTGTACGTGGAAAGTCATAGGCTCCGAGCTGCCAGAGAGGGCTGTGCTATCTGGAGCCAGAGGGAGTGCAGGCTGCCTGCCACCCTGCCACCCTGGCCCATCCAAGGCAGACCTCATGCCATTAGCTCACATGCTGCCTGTGTGGACTCTGAGCCTTGCTCAGCTCACCCTCTCACTCCCCATGCAGCCAGTTCCCAGGAGATTCATTCTCTTAAGATTACACAGTAGCTTCCAGCTGGATGCCTCCCTGGGGCCCTGCCAGCCCAGTCTGCACTCCCACCAGTGTTCTTAAAAAAAAAAAAATCCCTTAGACTCAGCAATCACACTGTCTGGAATTTACCCCATGGCTACACTCAACAAGAACAAGAGCAGACCATGATGCATAGATAGATACGGGTGTGCATGGCAGCCTTCTTCCTAACAATAACAACTGGAAACAACCTAGCATCTGTCAGCAGACACTAATGTGGCTGCTTGAAGAGGGAAAGCCAATGTGCCAGGATGACACTAGGCCTAGTCCACAACTGCAGCTTGTTACACATACATCCTGACTGGAGCCGCCCCGCATCAGGGTAGAACAACTCTGGCCCCAGGGCCTTGCGGGCATGGCTGAAGCCTCAGGTTTGGCCATGGGTGTGACACCTTGAGTTCACCTGTAACGCCACAGGTGCTGACCTGAAGCACCTCTCCTTAGGCTCATACATATCTCCAGAATGTCCTAGGGAGGCTGACCCAAAACACTCGACTACAGACAATGGAGTACATTCTTTCTATTATCTGTTTGCTCATTTTAGGCATAGAGCAGTGCCTGTTTACTTGAAGCAGAGATGCCATTTACTGTACCGTTGGTTAAACTGTAGGGGTTGTATGACAACTAAGCAAGATGTTTGGTACAAGGTGCCTGGCAATAGTGACACCATGGTAAGAATTGTTATTTGGACAAATGAAACCCAGCTAATCCAGGCAACTAGAGAAAGCTACAAATATTCTCTTCAGAATCTCTGCCTGATTTAAGCAGTTCTGCAAGAACTCGGTGCCTTTTACCGCATCTGTCACAAGGCAGGCATACCGGAACAGCCTAGAATCGCCAAAAGACTGAAGTGGCCAAGTGTGGTAGTATATACCTAGAATCTTTGGGAAGCTGGAGACAGCCAGTCCGGATTGCATAGTGGTTTCCAGGCAGCTAGGATACCTCGTAAGACCATCTCAAAAAAAAAAAAAAATTAAAAAAAAAAAGCAGAGACGAGCATGTTAACAGCAAGTTCTAGATGAAGCAATGCCCCTAGCATGGGTCTGGAGCAGCGCTGGGCTTGTACTGAAGCAGGCCAGGTTCCCAGGCCTGCACTTGTCTCAGGGGCAAGAAGGCCACATGGTATGGCCCACATGAGACGTCCCCCTTGACAGCACCCTCACACCCACACAGGTCAAGGAGAACAAAGGACTCTTTATTGCCATCAAAATCACCAGGCTGAGCAAGTGTGGAGTGCCTCCATGACCCCGGCACCTCCTGGCTAGGACACAGGCTTCTTCAGAGGGCCACGAGCAGAACATTCTTGACTCATAAGGCGCCATGCAGATACAGAGCTAAAAACTTCCTGAATGTCTCTGGCTGGAAACCAATTGGCCCAACAGGTTCCTGGAAAGAACACAGCCCATTAGGATCTTGCGACTGGGTTTAATGGCAGCAATTAAAGCAGAGGTCAGTCTTATGTGGACCGTCAGTGTGGATACTCACTGCTTTTCCCCCTATCACCTTGCTCAAGGGCCAAGGACCCTGAGAGATGGCCCTGACGAGACAGACGCCTGAGGGGCTGCAGCTAGAGCAGGAAGCACTCCTGGCCCTGATCAGTCACATCATCTGCTGACACTGCCCGGCTCCCTAATTCCTCTCACTTCAGCCGCCAGGAACAAAAGGCCGGCTGCCCTCTTTAATCCCGGGACAATAATCCCTCACCCATTCAACACTCGTTTATCAGGCTCTGGCTCTTGCTGTCCTGGGCCTCTGCTCTGTGCGAGAGACCCAGAAGCACCATGATCTGGTTTCTATCCCCAAGGAGCTTTCAGTCAGGTGTACAAGGAGTGATAATAAAAGGTGACAGACCTCGCTGTGGGAGTAAAAAAGGTGCTGCAAGAAGGGAAATGATTAACTCACACACACAAGGGTAGGCGGAATGGACTAGAAAAAGAAAAGGAAGGCAGCGCTGGAGAGGGCAGTGTTTGCGATGGCACAGGGGATACAGTGGAGGCGAAAAGGGTGGGGGAGGCTGGAGCCGAGGCCCGCTGTGGTGAAGGGAGGGGATGGACAGGTGGGAGCTGGAGCTGGAGAAGTGGAAGCCATCTAAGCAAACCCAGCTTGAGGCTTAGCACTGAGCTCAGATTCTAGAAGAAGAGGTTATAGAGAGGGGACCTTAAAAAACAAGGGGAGAAGGAGAATGGGGGGAGGGAAAGTGGGAGGATAGGAGGTAGGGGGCAACAATGTTCGACAAGAAATGTACTCATTACCTTACTTATGTAACTGTAACTACTCTGTACATTGCTCTTAAAATTAAAAAAAAAAAATTCAATGGGATGAGGCTAAGAAGAGACAGGACGTAGCAGGAGAGACTGCATGGGTCACAGGGATCTAGAGCCCTGGCTTGGAAGGTGTTTCCAAAGAGAAACAAGAGCTGACACTCAGCAAGTCTGGACTCAGGTCTGTGTGGGACACAGCTGGTCACAGACCCAGCAGCACCCCTGGTCTGGCCTGCTTTCCTCCGAGTGCATGATGGCTGCCTGGTGTTCTAGAAGCCAATGCTTCAGGCACCATTGCTGTTCTGAAGACAGCCCCATGGATGGCCCACTGAGCCACAGCGATTATGCTAGAGGAAGGACAGATCTGGGGGTGAAACGAGTGTGTTGTTTCCAGGCCCTGCCCTGGTGGAGCGCTGAGCTCGGCTGCACAGGTGGTCACCACACTGTGATGGCAGCAGCATCTCTGGGGCCCATGGAGGCACTGGAATGAGGCAGTGCAGGGACCAGCGGTGCTGAGGAACTTACTAAACCTGGAAAGACAAGGAACAGAAATGGTAAAGAGCAGGGGCAGTGGTGACAGCAGGAACCCGCAGGATGCTAGAAGGAGCCGGACATGACGGCTGACAGGCAGGCAGGGGGAAGCTGGAGCTGAAGGGGAGAGCGAAGAGATGTCCGGGATGAGCAGCCCAAGGGCTGCGGCCCTCCTCCAGGACCAGCCTCAGCGCTCCCAGGCTGGCCCTCGTGGGGTGGGTCAAGGTGCTGTTCTAACCACCCAGCTGGAGATGGCTGGACTTACCACCACCACCTTCTTTTTGATCACTGGGCGACACCAGAAGTGCTGGTAGAGAAGCTGGTCTGAGTCTACCCATACCAAATTCTTGACGCCCTCATCAGAGTCCAGATCTGTGGTATTCAACTGCAACACCAGGAACTGGAAGACACGTCCGTCTGTGCCCACGCCTTGCACGACGACGGGCTGCTCCAAGACCCGGGGGGTGTTCTGAGTGGAAAAGGGGACCAGTAAATGAATCGTGAACTGTGGGGTGCAACAAACAGCACAGAACAGGCAACATGCAGTTTTACCCTTACAATCTACCCGCTCCCAGGTAACAACTCCACCTTGGGTCAGTTAGGATAGAATGAAGGGTTGGCATACTGCCAGACCAGGTCTTCCCTCACCCAGCCTGGCTCAAGGCCCCAGGGGGCCGGCTCTTCAACTTGAACACTGAGTGGTAATTACTGGGTGAGCTGAGGAGTGCAGGCACTGAGCTGGGAGGTTAAAGATGGAAATCCTTCAAACTCGCTCATTATCTGATGGGGGCAACAGGGACATCAGCTATCAAATGCTAACCTGGAGGTTAATGAATAGACACAATGTCATTCAGCCAGTTCTCGCTCTATCTGACAGATGAGGAAAGACACCCAGTGAGGTGAACTGATGAGTTTGAAGTCACAAATATGTGTGGCCCCAAAACCAGTGTCCCTGGCAGACAGCGCATTATCCACTTCCACCCTGCGGCTGAGGGCCTGGCATGGCTGCAACTTCCTACACGTGTACACCGATGACAGCCATCTAGGCTTCATGCTCTCATGCAACTCAAAATGGGCCTCATTCCTATACGTTCCGTTCCAGCTGTGTCACACAGGATCTCAGCAGTCAGCATAGCGGTTAATGCTCTTTCACTTAAGTGTCATTTTGTAAGGATAATGACACTAAAACCACTTACTCAAGGCCTCTTAGGTGCCAGGTGCCTCAACTGTTTTCCATAAGCTAACCTCTACAATCAAATCTAAACATCTATTTCTATCTAAAAGACAAAGAACCAGGTTTGGAGAGGTGATACCATTTCCTCAAAGTCACCAATGAGGTATGAACCAGGCTCAACCCCCAGGCTATTAAGTCACTTAAAACCCTATCACACTGGCTTACACCTGGTGTCCCAGGATATCTATTGGTAGGAACTCTCTTGTTTGCACAGCACCCCATTGGATGATAAATCACAAGGTCAATCTCCAGAGACTTCCCACAAATCCAGTTTGGTAACTGCTACTTGTTAGACAAAGAGCTAGCAAGCAGGCCACACGAAGCAGGGTATCCCTGATGCAAAAGTACTGCTGCCTCACTTCCCAAGGATGATCTGACATTAGAACTAGCTAATGGCAGACCTCAGTGTAGGCCACACTGGGGCTGTTGGCCTTAGAAATACCTGTTCTTAGCTGCATGAGAAATAAATAAAGAGAAAAGCACCTGTAAGTATTAGCCGAGAATTCTGTATTGACTCTTATCTCTCTCTACAGATCAATAAAACTGCAGGTAGTACATAAATTTCTCAGCAATTTTACCTTTTACATGGAGGCTCTTCCCATAATTGCTCAACTTCACATCTCCAGGAATAATTTGTACCTGGAGGGGCTGGAGGAGGCCTCTCTCCTACCCAACTGGGTGGCAATTAGTGGCAGCCTTACTACTCAGGCTCTTCCAGCACAGCTGGCACAGGCTACAGTGAGCCTGCAGACCTGGGACACGGCATGTCCCTGGGACATGGCATGTGGCTGCTTCCTTCCTGTGCCCAAGCTAAAAGGCGCACAGCCTTTAAAGCTGAGGGATCCAGGATCCAGTCCTTGCTCCTGCTCATCAGCTGTCGGAACCTGAGTGAGTTTCCCAACCTTCCACAGCCTTCAAGAAGTCTACCATGAGGGAATGGGAATAAAGCCAATCTACTGAGGATTGGAAAGATACAAGGAGGTCATATAAAGATGTGACAGCTAGAAGCTGGGCACACAGTGGCTCACGCTGTAATCCTAGCTACTCTGGAGGCTGAGATCTGAGGATCACCCTCCCTCCCGACAGGAAAGTCCATGAAACTCTTATTTCCAATAAACTATTCAGAAAAAAAAACAGAAGTGGCACTGTGGCTCAAGTGGTAGAGCACTAGCCTTGAGCAAAAGAAGCTCAGGAATAGCTCCTAGGCCCAGGAACAGCTCCTAGGCCCTGAGTGCAAGCTTCAGGACTGGCAAAAAAAAAAAAAGACAGTGACAACTGCTAATCTGTTCTTTGTTGTTGTCCTCACTGCATTTGCCATGCTAGAAATAGAACTTACACATGCTAAGCCACACCCCCAACCCACCTGCCAACCTCTTGGCTGTATTAGCATGGTCAGGTAGCTCAGTCACCCCTGTAAAGTAGAGCTAACAGTGTCTCTAACATGGGATTACTACAAGGAGTAAATCATGCAGTCGTCTTCAAATTTCAGTGCAGGGCTTTTTTTTTTTTTGTCAGTCATGGGGCTTGAACTCAGGACCTAGGCACTATCCCTGAGCTTTTTCACTTAAGGCTAATGTTCTGAGCCATAGCTCCACTTCCAGATTTCTGGTGGTTAATTGGAGAGCAGAGTCTCACAGACTTGCCTGCCCAGGTTGGCTTGGAACTGCAATGCACGAATCTCAGCTTTCTGAGTATCTAGGATTATAGTAAGCATGAACCACCAGCATCTGGCTAGTGCAGGGTTTTTAACCTTGTGCTTATACCAGCATCACCCAGAGGCTTGGCAATGCTGACTGGTGGGCCCCAACCCCAGAGCTTGTGATTCAGGAAGTCTGGAAAGTGCATTTCCCACAGATTCTAGGACTTGTTTTAGGACTCACTGCTAACAAGAGCTGTAACAAATGCCTAGGATGTGGCAGGTGCTCAATAAGGCAGGGTCCATTCAACTCCCTACCCAAGTAGCTAACCACAATTCCATAGCCCTGCCAGAACCTAGCCAGTTAGGATGAGAAATGGCGGTTAGAATTTCCTCATTCCTCCCGGAGGGCCTTTAGGTCTAGCCAAGACCTAGGAGTCCGATAGTATCTCAGAACCATCAAGGCCAGGGACCTGGTGTACCAGGTTTGCTTAGGGCTCCCATATAACCCTCTTGGCCTTTGCTCTAGAGCCAGACTTTCTGCCCATCTTGGGACACCTCTTTATGACAACCTAAGTCCTCGGATCAAGGTACTACCAGCAAGTGGCTTATTTGTTTCCTATAACCCATTCTAGTTGTTGGCAGCTATGAGCCTCCTGCATAGCCTTACTTTCTTCTGCCTCCTCATGGTGCCCTGTGCTCTAATTCTCATCCTACACAGCAGAGATGTGTGCAGCCTGGACGACAGAATGCTCTAGAGTGGGGTTACATCTTGTTCCAGTCCTTTCTCCCTCACTCATTGCTATGAAGCACAGATCAAACTGATTAGTTCCTGGAGATTCTGCAGATTAAAAGATGGGACTCCAATGACACCTGGTGGGCTACTGCACAAAGTCATGCCCCAGAGAAGGTCCACTATTACCTCAGAGTAAGTATAACTGCTTCTCCCTAGGATTCGTCAATAAAACATGAGTCCCTATCCCTCAAAGCCTTCTTCCTCCAAGCAACTCCATTGTCTTCCCCATATACATACCCCATAGAGAAGCCGAGCCTGAGCCAGGGCATTGCCAAAAGCAAACAGGATCATCTTGGCCCGAAGTTGATCGGGCTGAAAGCGGTATGTCCGTGTGTTGGCTCTGTCCAGGAAATACAGAGTATGTGGATGAGGGTAAGGATAGCCTTCCCGGAATCCTGCAAGATTCATGTGGAGAAGAGACAGATTCACCAGCCTGGCAAAGAGCCTCAGGAGTAGCCCCCTCACCTCGGCTCAGGGCAGGAACTTCACTCTTAGAAAAGGTACCTGCTATCCTTTTAGCTCAGGTGGGGACCACAACTCCCTGGCTACACCTAGCCTGCCGCCTGTTGACTGCTTTGAGAAATGTTTCTACTGGGCAGAGTCACACTCATTAACAAATATATGGGGCAGCTGAGACCAAGACCTCATGTGGCCTACAAAACCAAAACTGTTTACTACTTCCCTTTTCACATGAAACGCCTGACAAGCTGTGCTAGGGCTGCTTGCATGCCTGTTCTAACTCCACTCTTTGCCTCTCACTCAAGCATAGATGACTACACTGTCACTACCAAGGGGACTTAGAGCTACTCAGGAAGAAGTTTCTAAGGATTCATGACTAAGGAAAAGGAGAGATAAACTTCGATCCACTGTGAGATAGGCAAGTCATTTGTTACTAATATTAAAATTCTGAATTCTACAAATGATACGCTTTCTTCTTATTACCACAGCTTTAAGATTGTCCCTTTCCTAAATTACTGTCATCTGCATTAGAACGTCTATGCAAGAACCACCTATCACAGGTGGGCAAGCATTTCCTGTGAAGAGTCAAATAGTAAACATGGTAGTTCTACATGCTGTAGATCTCTAGTATAAGTGACTAGATGAAGAGCAGAAGGGAGAAAGAGCTAGGAGCTTGGACTCTAAAAGCATAGCACTGGTTAAGACAGGGCTTTCCTGCATGCCTTGGTCCTTCAGCACACACTTCAGTACCAAGCTCAAGCAGAGGATGCCACTGCCTGTAGGAAGTTCACAACCTAGAGGGGCGACAGGAAAACCCGTCATATCCAGATACAGGACCATGTCCAGATCTGAGGAGATTTGGGGACTAGGAGGAGAAACTAAGGTTCCTGAAGAGACTGAGTGATTTCAGCATTTCTGGGAGAAAGGGATGCCAGTGACAAGTTGTGACAGATGAAGAGTTAGCTGCAGACAAAAAGGGCAATGAGCTCAGGCAGAGGGAGGAGGGTGAGACCAGTTGTGAGAAGGGGAATAAAGAGTAAGGTACAGCTGGAATAAAGGAGTAGGAGGAAGAGCAAAAATGAGGCTGGAGACCAGGGGTGGGGATAGGCAGAAAGGCCTTCATGCAGTGAAGCAAGGAGAACTTGCTTTGCTGAGAGGTAGTGGTAGTGGCATGGGAAGAAGTGGGATTAAATTGGGGCCTAGAGGGGCTCCTCTATCAGTGCTGGATAGTTTTTGCTTTTTTTTTTT